TACTAGGAGAAGAGAAGAACAGATTGAATTTATACCCTGCCCTTCACTACCTGAAGGACTCTCAGAGTGGCTGACAACCTCCTTTCCCTTCCCCTCCACACAACAGACACTCTGTGAGGTAGGTGGGGCTGAGAGAGCTCCTTTGAGAACTGCCCTTGAGAGAACAGCTCTGAGGGAACTTGTGACTGACCCAAGGTCACACCAGCAGCTGCATGTGGAGGAGTGGGGAATCAAACCCGGTTCTCCCAGATTAGAGTCCGCGCACTTAACCCCTACACCAAACTAGCCAGGACCAGCCCTGCCGAGCTTCTGAGATCTGACCAGATCTCTAGCCTGGGCGATCCAGATCAAGTCAGGAGACAGCATAGGATTGATTATTGTGAACAATTATCATCAGTATTTAATCTTACAGCTGTATTAATTATTGAATGCAATATGGGAAACTGGCAATTCATGGCCATTTTAAGCCTCTTATTAGCTCACCAAATGGTTTCATTTTTTTTCAGAACTGGCCTGGTATCCAAACCACCAAGTGACATGCATAGGATTGCCAGTCTCCAGGTGGGGCCTGGAGAGTGAGACCTCCCACTTTTACAACTGATCTCCAGCTGACAGGGATCAGCTCCCCTGGAGAAAATAGCTGCTTTGAAGGGCGGACTCTTCTTCTTTTTCCTCTTCTTCCTCTTCTTCTTCTTTTTCTTCTTCTAAGTCTCCAGATATTTTCCAACACAGACCAGGCAACCGGAGGAGTGGGGAATCAAACCCGGTTCTCCCAGATTAGAGTCTTAACTTAACTTAGAGTCTTAACACTTAACCCCTACACCGAACTAGCCAGGACCAGCCCTGCCGAGCTTCCGAGATCTGACCAGATCTCTAGCCTGGGTGATCCAGATCGAGTCAGGAGACAGCATAGGGTTACTATGAACAATTATCATCAGTATTTAATCTTACAACTGTATTAATTATTGAATGCAATATGGGAAACTGGCAATTCATGGCCATTAAGCCTCTTATTAGCTCACCAAATGGTTTCATTTTTTTTCAGAACTGGCCTGGTATCCAAACCACCAAGTGACATGCATAGGATTGCCAGTCTCCAGGTGGGGCCTGGAGAGTGAGACCTCCCACTTTTACAACTGATCTCCAGCTGACAGGGATCAGCTCCCCTGGAGAAAATGGCTGCTTTGAAGGCGGACTCTTCTTCTTCTTTTTCCTCTTCTTCCTCTTCTTCTTCTTCTAAGTCTCCAGATATTTTCCAACACAGACCAGGCAACCCTAGCCATGC